CAAGCAGAACACACACAACCTCTATGCTCATGGAACTTGTCGTCTAATGTGGGAGATGATCAATAAACAAGTGACCAGGGCGCCTGGCTGGCTCAGATGGTTGGGCGTCTGCCTTCGGCCCAGGTCATGATCCCAGGGTCCTGGGATCGAGTCCTGCATTGGGCTCCTTGCTCAGCAGAAGCCTGCTTCTCCCTCTCCCTCCGCCTCTCCCCCTCCTTGTGCTCTGTCTCTCTCGCAAGTGGATAAATAAAATCTTTTTTTTTTTTTTAAGATTTTATTTATTTATTTGAGATAGAGAGAATGAGAGATAGAGAGCACGAGAGGGAAGAGGGTCAGAGGGAGAAACAGACTCCCCGCCAAGCAGGGAGCCCGATGCGGGACTCGATCCCGGGACTCCAGGATCATGACCTGAGCCGAAGGCAGTCGCTTAACCAACTGAGCCACCCAGGCGCCCGTGGATAAATAAAATCTTAAAAAATAATAATAATAAACAAGTGGACATCCCAGTAAATATACAACAACTACTTCTAGAGGCTGGAAGGCGACAAGAGGGCCATCTGTGATAGAGAAAAACAGGGGTGCGAAGGCTGTGCACTCTCCCTGAGGAGGTAATATTTACAAAGAATTAGCATGCACAGATCTGTAGGAAAACTGTCCAAGCAGAGGGAACGGCACAGGGAAGAGCCCGGAGGTGGGAAGGATTTCAACAGAGAAGGGAGTTACCTGGAATTGAGAGATCAGCAGGCTGAGGAGACTGCCAATGTAGGGTCCTAAACACTCAAGAAGCTGTAATGGAAAGGCACGGAAAGGCCTTAAACTGGGGGGTGGTTAGTTTTGTGTTTCTGGAAGATGACTCTGACAGACACACAGACTTGTCGGTTTCTACGTGCAGCTAGCTCTGAAGGGATGTACTTAAGGATCTGGTCATTTTGGAAGTAGGTGGCCAGGGGACAGAGGTGGGAGGCAGAAGTTTTACTATGGACGCTTTATTAACTTCTGACCTTGGAGGTATCATATATATCCCAAGACTGGAAGCAGGAACAGAAAGAAGGCTACTGCAGATGTCCAGGACCAATCAGACATGCTTCAGGAAACTCGGTGATCAGACTGTGGGAGTGAGGAAGGGGGAGGCCTTAAGATAATCCCTGTTTTTGGATTCAGGATTGAGCAACTAAGTGGATGGTGATGATAACTGAAATTGGGGAGAGGTGAAGAGGGACAGTCTGAGGGCACGGACAGTTCCAGAATTTCTATTTAGGAGAGGCTTAGGGGTAGTGAGCTAGTTGGAAGTAGAGGCTGGAAGAGATGTGTCTTAAATATGCATTTGTACAGCATTTATATCAGGATAGGTTCAATTATAGTGCAGTAACCTCAAATATACACACAACATGCACACACCTCAGAACTAAAAAACAGTAAAAACCTCAGTGACTTATACAACAGAGTTTTTCATGTTTTTTTTCCTTGCTCACAGTTAGCTACAGGTCTAAATGACTCTCTGGGCAATTTTCCTGCAAGTGATGGCTCAGCATTCCAGGCTGCTTTGATCTTAGGCATCTGCATCTCAACACATGGTAACTTTGGGACAAAGGGGAAGAAAAAAAGACAGCAAACAGAATTGTGCACCTGTTTCTAAATATTTCCATGCAGATGCAATATGTGTAATTTCCCTCTCACATTTCAGTGGCCGCAGTAACTGCCATCACCAAGTCTAACTGCAAGGAGATAGATAAATAGAATTCTCCCAAACGTCTAGGTAAGGAAGGAGAGCTGGAAGTATTGGTAAAGCTCTAGTGATGTCACTATGATACTTACATAAGAATGAAAAAACCTCCAAAGTTTGTATCAAAGAACGGTAACATCAAAAAAAAAAAAGGGGCACCTGGCTGGCTCAGTAGGTGGAGTGTGTGACTCTTGATCTCAGGGTGGTGATTTTAAGCCCCACTCTGGGTGTAGAGACTACTTAAAAAAAAGAATGGGGTGGGTCGCCTGGGTGGCTCAGTTGGTTAAGCGACTGCCTTCGGCTCAGGTCATGATCCTGGAGTCCCGGGATCGAGTCCCACGTCGGGCTCCCTGCTCAGCGGGGAGTCTGCTTCTCCCTCTGACCCTCCTCCCTCTCGTGCTCTCTCTCTCTCATTCTCTCTCAAATAAATAAAATCTTAAAAAAAAAAGAATGGGGTACAGGTTATGAAGAGAGTTGAAATGTGGGCTATCAATGAGCACCCCCCTCCCCACCATAAGTGTTGTGTTTTGTGTGCATGTGTGTGTAGGGGAGACCCAAGAATCCCCATTTCAGACACATTAAATTCAAGAAGCCTCTATCCAAATGGAGGTGTCAAATAAGCAGCTAAATCAGGAGGTCAGAGGATAGGTCAGAAGATAGGTCCAGGCTAGAGATAGAATTGGGGAGATTAGGGCGCCTGGGTGGCTCAGTTGGTTAAGCGACTGCCTTCGGCTCAGGTCATGATCCTGGAGTCCCAGGATCGAGTCCCGCATCGGGCTCCCTGCTCGGCAGGGAGTCTGCTTCTCCCTCTGACCCTCTTCCCTCTCATGCTCTCTATCTCTCATTCTCTCTCTCAAATAAATAAATAAATAAATCAAAAAAAAAAAAGAATTGGGGAGCTAAAAAATATCTATCTACATTTGGGCACAAGAGTGTGAAGTCCCGCGGTCTAGGCCAGTATGGTTAGGGATAAGATGGTCTAAGGAACATGTAGAGGATCATTCAAAGACAGTTGCTGGACAGAACCCTGCTAACCACCACAATTACAAAGGGGTCTAAAAAGGAGACTGGGAAGGAGTGATAGCAGAAGGGGAGAGTCAAGAGTGACTTTGTTACAACTAAGGGGAAGAGCTTTAAAGGGTGTATTTCTGCTCTTGTCAAAGCAAACTCCCCCACCTGTACGACAGATCCCTGCCCCTTCTGCATCTCAAGTCCCCTCTCTGCACTGAGTCAGATCTAGCACCATTTTACATGCTCGAGTGACTTCACTGTGTCTTTTACAGGGTGGAAGGGGGCAGGGGGTCTCTGTGGCGTCTCTTTTACAAGAGCACTAATCTTATTATTCGCGAGGGCTCTGTCCTCAGACCTGATCACCTCGCAAGGCCCCATCTCCTAATACCATCACCTTGGGGGTTAGGTTTTCAACATCTGAATTTTGGTGGGGAACATAAACATTCAGATCATAGTAGTGCTTTCTATCACATTGCCCTGCTTTGTTTCCTTCACATCATTTATAATTCTACACTTGATCTTAGGCAAAAGGCCAAGAAGCGATACAGCATTTACAGTTCTAATTATTGTTTACTTGTATACTGTGAGTCTGACCCCATCACCCCAATACAAAGCAAGCTACCAGAAGATATAAGGAAAGCTCAGTTGGTGAAGGGAATGAGGACAGGGGACAATAAGCGGTGGTTATTTCCTCTGAAAGTATCACATTTTCAGCAGCTTTAAGAGAGTATGTTGACAAGAGAGTTTTTAATGATATGATGACAATAACATTGGAACAGGCATTCTGAAATTCCGATTGTGAAGCAAGCAGAGAAGTTAGTCAAAGGTTGGCACCTTTATGAGGGCTTGCTGTCCCATGAACCAAGGTCGCGGGGCTCACCATGCCCCCTGACATGGCCCTGGGACAGAGAATTCGGATGTTATGACCTGGCTACAGCCCAGAGACAGGATCTCATCTACTTCTGCATCCCAGGGCCTAGAACAGTGCCAGCCAAAAAGTAGGTGCTTGATAATTACTGAATAATTTTACATAACCTTATATAAATTATTTTGTCTACATAATCATATAACATACTTCATTACTTATACAATAAATAAAGTTGCAAATGTTGCTGACAGCTTAGTTAGGTTTGGGCTGAACAGTACCCATGATTTGGACATGCACTTCACCGGTAACCTCAGGGGGAGCGTTTGCAGTCGGGGGTGGGCAAAATGGCCAGACTGCAGGAGGGAACAGCAAGGGAAGAGAGGAGTGGGGCCAGGGAGACTGCTCCTTCCAGAAGCTGGAGCAAAGGGAAGAACAAGACAGTGAACCGTAAGATGCAAAATGAACAGAGTTTTGTTTTGTTTTAAAAGGCAGAGACTTCAACATTTTTGTGTGTGTGAGGAGAACAGAGCCAGCAGAGAAAGAACTGAAGATGCCTGAGAAAGGAAAGCTGACTGGTGTGTGGACAAGAGGAGATCTGGCATCTACAGAACTGGGAGTTCCCTTTCCCGCAGGGTACAAAGGAAGGACAGCTTGGGGGTAGAGGTCAGGAAGCGGAAGGGGTGGGCCTGCTAATGGCCTTTATTTTCCTCTTAAGCATGAAGTACAGAAACATCACTTCCCAAACTACTCTTTTTAATTTCTCCTTTTTAAAAAAAGATTTATTTATTTGACAGAGAGAGACACAGTGAGAGAGGGAACACAAGCAGGGGGCGTGGGAGAGGGAGAAGCAGGCTTCCTGCTCAGCAGGGAGCCCGATGCCGGGCCCGATTCCAGGACCCTGGGATCATGACCGGAGCCGAAGGCAGACGCTTCACGACTGAGCCACCCGGGCGCCCCTCAGTTTCTCCTCCTAACCAATTCTGTTCCTCGGTTACGGATCTTCTTCGTTTGTGCCCAGTTAGGCTATCACCTCCTCCCTGCTCTGGAGTGGCCTGCAGCCCCTAGGCCTTCCGCTGGCTTAGCGTGTGACCACGGCCAGTTGTCTGAGACTGTCCTGCTCTTTGATACCCAGATGACAAAATCTTCCATCTTATGAAACTGTAGGCATTCCAGACTTTTATCTGATTTCTCTATCACTGAGGATTCCCATGGAGGGTCTGCACGTTTCACAAACCCTATCATCCTACTTCTGAAACTCTGTTCCAATTGGTTTAATTATTCAGCCCAAAGATGGCCACAAACCTCCCCCTTAATTCCCCAAAATAGTTATATAACTAAGTTATCTGAGACAAGTTTGTATTTAAAGCTTCGAGGTAACAGAAGGGAATGACAAGAAAGAAAAGTTAAAAAGTGCTGTAATTCAAATGCCCAGCCCATTTTGTTCTTGCTCTACCTGTTCTCAGATGTCAGTAAAGCTTATCTAATTGCAAAAGCACTGTTGATATTCCTTATCACACAGAAAAACTTGTTAAAACCCTATTTGAACTCTTCTGCACTTCCAAGTTTCTGTCCCTACATCAGTGGTCCGTTGCGTCATCTGTCCTTCCAGAAGTTTCCTCCCACAGTGCATGGAGATCTCTGGCCTTCAGCAGAGCCCTTCTCCAATCATACCAGCTCAGCAGAACAAGAGCTGGAGGAGCAGATGTCTGCAAAATAAAAGCCCCCGTTGTTACTCACACCTGACCGAGCCTCACACCACCACACCTGGAAACAGAATAGGAGGTTTTTCCCAAAGTTTCTCTGTGAATCCCCAGCATCAGAATCTCCCAGAGTCTGGGAATCAAACCAGAACATGTTTGACTTGTAATTGTTTTAGATGATGGCTTTAGGAAATTTTTATGAATCAAATGCTTAGTTTGGGAGCCAAACTGTATTTATATCTATGTATGCACATTGCCTTATTACCATTACCAATGTGGCATTATTGCTGTCTCTTCATATAACTTTCAAACTGAAGAAATAGTGTTATGGGGGCGATTTTATTTACCTGTGTCTGGTGCCATCTAGTGGACATCATCTCCTCAACAGCTTGGAGTCGGGATTTTTATCCACCTGGCAAAGGTAGTGATGAAGATGAAGATGGCTAACACTCAGGAAGTTACTGTTAGGCACTGTGTTAGAGGTGATGCTAATCTATTTAAATTCACTGGTGAATTTAATCTCCAAAACAATACTAAGCAGTGGCAATCACTATCCCCATTGTGTAAGATACGGAAACTGAGACAAGGAAAGCTTAAGAGAGTTGCCTCTCAGGAAGTAAATGGCAGAGCGACAAGTCCAGAGTCCAAGCCCTTAACTACTGAGCTGAAACACTGAGGAAATTCTATTAATGAAAGAATTCAATAGAGTGTGTTTATATATTAAGACGGTGATGTCGCTGGTGTGGTTTAGCACCTGGTTGGGGGGGGGAGCGACTTAGACGACTTAGGTACTAACAGGTTCCAAGGAAGTAGCTCAGTTGTCCCTGGAGGCATTAAGAAGGGGCCAAAGAAATGTCCTGCACTGGACACTGGGCAGACAAGATTCATTCCTCTGCGTCCTAAATTCCTAAACTCCTAAAGTCTGGAGTCCACAATGCAGGCGGGCCAGGCCTGCATTTTTTATTGTCTTTCATTGCGAGAGATAAGCAAATATTCACAGTAAATGGGATAGCTGAAGACTGATACTCTCCCTCCCCACACATCAAATTAGAAGGCTCAGACTCTATTCTGACAATCTTGAATCTTTATTCCTGACAAAGGGAGAGTGTATCACTCTCCAGCATCTCAGTGAGAAGTTCAAAGCAGAGGAGGGTCTTTTTTCTGTGGAGTAGACCTTAGGTGCCATCAGGATTTTTCTATGTAACTCGGGAAAATTAGGTCATTCCCAGATGTCTTAGTCAGCTGGGGCTGCCATTACAAAATACCACAGACCAAGTGGCTGATACTGCAGAAATGTATTTCCTCATAGTTCTGGAAGCTAGAAGTCCCAGGTCTGGGTGCCGGGGTGGTCGGGTTCTGGTGGGAGCTCTCTTTCCAGCTCATGGAGCCTTTCCTGGGTACGTGTACAAGAAGAGAGAGCAAGTTGTCTGCCGTCTCTTCTAAGGGAATTAATCTGATAGGGCCCTACCCTCATGATGTCAATCTAATCCTAATTGCCTTTTAGGGGCCCCCACCTCCAAACATCATCACATTGGAGGATAGGACTTTCAACATATGAATTTGGGGAGGGCACAGATATTCAGTCCATAACATTCTACCATTGGACGACCAAAATTCACTTCCTTATCGCATGCAAAGCACATTCACTCCATCCCTATGACTCTGAGTCTTACCTCATTTCATCAACTCTGAAGTCTAAAGCCCAAAGTCTCATCTAAGTATCACCTAGATCAGGTATGGGTGAGGCTCTAGATAGGATCCATCCTGAGGTAAAATTCCTCTCTTGGCTGTGAACCTGTGAAACCAGGCAAGTTATGCGCTTCCAAAACACAGTGGTGGGACAGGCATAGGGCAGACACGCCCATTTCCAAAGGGAGGAACAGGAAAGAAGGAAGGTGTGATGGGTTCCAAGCCAGTCCAAAACTTAGCAAGGCAAATTCCATTAGCTCTTAAGGCTGGAGAACAAACCACTTTGGTTCGATGCTCTGCCCTCCAGGCCCGCTGAGGCGGTAGGGTCACCCCCTCAGTGTGGCCGAGCAGCCCTGTCCATGTGGCTCTCTGTGCAGTCACTGTCCATGCAGCTCTGCTGAGCAGTCCTGCTCTTTGAACCCAAGGTGGAGGCAGCCTTGTGCCCCTTGCACCCCCTCTCCCCAGGGCCTCAGGGCCTGCGGTGGGAGTGGCAGCCTTGCTGATCTCTGGAATCACCGGTGGGGTCCTTTTTTCCTTTTCTTGGAGGATAGCATACACTCCCACGGCCAAATAGCTCCATGGTTTCATCTTGTAAAATCCAAAGTGTCCAAAAGCCATCCTTCATTCCATCCCATCTTCTCTACCCCCTTCAAGTCACATGGGTAGTGTCTCTGCTGGTACTAACCCCACCTCTATGTCTGGCTTCCGTTGGGATGGCTGATGAAGTCCACAAGTTACTGCACCCAAGATTTCTGTCAGATGACTGCTTAGCCCCACCTTTGGTGTTCTCCTCAAAACTAGCTTTCTCATTTTATGCAATATGGATAGGCTGAGAATTTCCCAAATCTTCATATTCTGGTTCCTTTTTGCTTCACTCCTTCATCTCTCATTTTGCATTTCACTGTGAGCAGTTAGGAAGAACTAAGCTGCTCTTCTCTCAGTTGCTTGGAAATCTCCTAAGTATTCCCATTTCGTCACTTGCCAGTTCTACCTTCCACAAAACATTAAAACACAATCTAGCCAAATTGTCACTTTACAATAAGGATTGCCTTTCCTCCAGTACACATACTCCTCCGATAACATGTTCATTTGTCTGCGACCTCACCAGAATCACCCTACATGTCTATATGCCTTGTGTGTACCTCAAGGTTCTCCCAAAGCTACTTCCACATATTTAGGTATTTGGTATAGCAGCACCCACTTCCTGATACCAAAATTTGTTATGAGTCAGCTCGGGCTGCCATACAGAATACTGTAGACTGGGTGCTTACACAGCAGAAATTATTTCCTGTTCTGGAAGCTAGAAGCCTGAGAACAGGTGTCAGGCTCTGCTCAAAGCTCTCTCCTGGCTTCCTTCTCACTACGTGCTCACACGGCCTTTGGTGAAGAGAGAAGAAACATGTTCTCTGATGACTTATAAGGATACTAATCCCATCATGAGGGGCCCACCCTCATGACCTCATCTAATCTTAATTACCTCCCAAAGGCTCTATCTCCAAACACCACCACCCTGGGGTGTCAGGGCTTCATCCTTTGAACTTGGGGGGGGGGGACGGATATGACAACGGGACGACACATACATTCAGTCCATAACACCATGTATTATTATTTCAATTTCTTTGGCTTACATTTATTTTTATTGCAAATGAGTCTGTCTAGAGTTTTTTTTCCAACTTTTTATTATTTTAAACACCTGAAAAGTTGAAAGAAGAAGACAACAGTACACCACTGCCTAGATTCATTAATTGCCATATTTGCCTTCTCTATATGTCTACATGCCTATCTAGCTATCGATTTGTTGTTCAAAGTATCTTGTGGGCATCATGATACTCTATCTCTGTCAGCATGCATCTCCTAACCAAAATATCATTATTTTTTTAAAGATTTTTATTTATTTATTCATGACAGAAAAAAGAGAGGCAGAGGCAGAGGGAGAAGCAGGCTTCCCGTGGAGCAGGGAGCCCGATGCGGGGCTCAATCCCAGGACCCTGGGACCATGACCTGAGCCGAAGGCAGACACTTAACTGACTGAGCCACCCAGGCGTCCCAAAATATCATTATTACTCTTAAAATAATTCCCTTATATCATCTTTTAGCCAATTCATATTGAAATTTCCCCAATATATTTCATAGCTGTTTCCCTCTGAATTTGGATCAAATGAAGCTTTAAGCATTGCATTTATTTGGTATAGCTCTTTTGTCTTATTAATGTAGAAAAGTCCTCCTACACATTTTTCCCCCATGACATTGACTTTTTGAAAAGACAATGTGATAATGATATTGTGACCATATTAACTCTTTGAGATACACAAAAATATTTACCAATGAAATGGGAGGAAATGCTCTTACAAAAATACAATGCATAATTAACTGGCCTCAAGTTTAATTTAAACTTACCTGAGTGGACTCAAAACGCTTATCAGTTGCAGAAATTAACATATTGTTACATGGTAATAGTACTGGAAAACACTTTATGTTCATGATTCTAGAACTCTGACTCAATTTACCTTAGCTTTAAACTGATGTTCATTGATGGTTCAGCTCATCAAAATATGTGGATGAAAATTTTTTAAAAATCCACCTTAAAAAAAATCCCCAACCAGTACAGAAAAACATAAAGTTGCAAGAATCACTCAAAATCAGTCTATCCATAAGTAACTATTATTAATACTAGGTCAACAGCATATACAGCTATCTATACATCTATTTGGGGAGGTAGGCTGCAATACTTTTATAAAAATAACATGTACTCTTGGGGCGCCTGGGTGGCTCAGTCGGTTGAGCGGCTGCCTTCAGCTCAGGTCATGATCCCGGGGTCCTGGGATCGAGCCCCGCATCGGGCTCCCTGCTCAGCGGGGTGTCTGCTTCTCCCTCTCCCTCTGCTGCTCCCCCCAACTTGTGCTCTCTTTCTCACTCTATCAAATAAATATTAAAAAATAATAATATGGTACTCTCTATTTGATGCAAGGCCTGTGTGCCCATTCGTTGCCCTACCTCTTACCACTAATATTGCTCAAGTTTTGATCCTAACAGGCTGCATATCCCAGGCTCCTGTGTTGGCTGACATCTGGCTGGGGTCAATTAATGGAAGACTGTTGGGACACTAGAGGGTACTGCCCTCCCCCCTCCCCCGAACTGTGATTCAGGTAATGCTGCTTTTTCCCTTTGTCCCTACAGCCTATGGGCTCAATGGTTTCTGGCTCTTACACTAATCACCGGGTTATCTGTTGGTCATATTTGGCTTCTCAGCTTTTCCATTACCTGTATAATCAATTCCTTGCACTAAATTCCCCTCACTGAAAATACTTGAAGCAGTTTCTGGTTAGACCCTGACTACTCTATGGTAGATGCTAATTTTAATGAAAATATTCTAATTTTAATGACTTTTACTTGAATTTAATGCAACAAAAGATTATGAATTAGAAAATTTTTTCCTTTAACATGAGGGCGTGTCACGTTCTGAAAGCTCTTTCTAGGTTAAGAAAAGGAATTATGAAAACCTCTCAGAAGTTGGAGGTGTGAAGCTTTATATTTTTAATGGCTTTTCAATTTTAGACAGTAAAAGTAGACAATTCATGAAAAACTAGTACTCACATGCTTTCTGGGACCTCTTCACAATTGTTTAGTTATATTTATTTTGTTCAGGCTTATAACATTCACATTCTAGAAAAGATAATTTCCACAGTTGCTCATTATTAGTAAAGTTACATAATTAAACCAGCTCTATTTCACTAAAAAGTAAGTCTCACTCAGCCAACGCAGGTTACTTGCTTTGTTCACAGAGCTATTCAAGCAACAGGAAGAGTGTCTGGCACAAACAAATACTGGTTGAATAAATCATTTACCAAAATTATTCACTTTCTTAAGCTTTATATTAGAATTTTCCTCCTAATTGACTGGATTTCATTGTTGTGTATGTAGATATGTATAAACACACTCCTATAGTTTTTTTCTCACTCAAAGAGAAGCATGGCCATGTAGGGCTGTTTGAGTTTCTTGGTGTTTGAAGACCCGGGCCACTGTCTTCTGGTATTATATGTTCTCCGCTCATTTCATCGAATGAACTCGGAATATTGGTGTGATAAACTGTCACGAACTCTTTATAATCCTAGTGGTCAGTGCCCTCCTATCATAATTATTTTATATTGTAAGCTTTTGTCCAGTTGTTTGTCATATTTGTGGGCAGAAGTTTTAAATGTCTTTTTATTTTGAAAGGCCCGTGTTATTTTTGTTGACATTCTTCAGTAAGTCAACAAATATTTTATGAGCACCTTCTGCTACATACTGTGTATTACACAAATACAGATGGCCAATGGACCCTATACTGGACCCTATACTCAAGGAGCTGGTCCTGTGGGGTAGATAAAATAAGCCTGCTGATACAATATGAAGTAGAGAGTCAGGTCTTAGGAGAAACACAGCGCCTGGATGTTTTGAAGAGACAGTAATTACCAAGAGGAATGAAGGAAATGAGCATTTACAGAAGGCCTGTTATCTGGCAATAAGGAGCCTTCATAGATGTCATCTCCTTTCACCTTCAGAATAATTCTGCAAGAAAAATGATCATTATCCCCATTTCACTGAAACAGATACTGAGCTTAAGTAATTGTCCAAAATAATGGAGGAAGAGTTGAAATTGGAACCCAATTCTGCCTGATTCATACTCTTTTCTCTACTACATACATTACCTGTTGCAAGAATGAATCAGAGGCGGCTTGATGGAGAAAGTGGCACACGAGCAAGTGCCTTGATGGGTAGGTAGGTTTTATGGTAGGAGTGAGAATTCCAAATCTATGCCCAGCATTTTCCTCAATTGAGGTATGGGTGGGTGTTCAATCTACTGCCAAGAAATTGTTTTTGTTCATTTGGAGACCCAGTTCTGAGGAGGTGGAAAGAAACTCCAAGTAGCCTTGCTCTTGAGTTTCCTGGAATTCTTTGGTCTTGGATATCTATCTTCTTCCTCATCACCCCTTTGCACAGCCACACAAGAATTAAGTCCTCCTGGTGCTAAGATTTATCCTTCCTCTCAGACATTTCTAGAATAGTATAAATTCTTCAAAACACCATGGGAGATATAAAGCAGTGTTTTTCAAACTTAAGTTCCAAGTCATTAGTCCACTTTGACATTTTTAGTGAGTCATAACCAGCAATTTGTTTTACAGGGACAGAGAGAATAGAAACAGCAGAGGGAATTGCATATAGTAAGGGTAAACATAGTTTTATGACACATGTGTCATCTGTATGTGGGTTTTTTTTTTTATGTACTGCACTATGATGTAAAATATATTTCTGATAGTGACAGATTTACATGGCCTATTTACAAGCCATGTATACCAGCAAAGCCTGAAAGTCTTTTCTAACCAGCAGGGAGTAGCAGCTGGGCTTAGGGTCAGGGAGCCCTTGGATGAAAGCTTTCTCAGGTCCAGGAAACAATATCACAGGCTACTTGCTTACAAACATGGCATAACTATCAAGCAGTGTAATATCCTAAGCATTCTTTCAAGAGTAAGCTTAGTAGAAATGTTGAGAGAAAAAACTAGGCAATTATCTCTTAGCAGAGGCTCTGGAGGGAGGAGTAGCCTATCCAGCTCAACAGTTACCCAGTGCAAAATCTGCCTTCTCAAAAGAGGAGAGAGGCTGCAGGACCGCTCTAGATTAAAGGCCTCCTATCCACTTGGGTTATGTATATTTGCAGGACTCAAAGGATGACAGTGGGGGAATGCCTTCAATCAGCAATATTCAGTCCTTGGAGTATTTAATTTTCTTCTCTTTCCCTAAATTTGTCTCTTGCCCAGTTTTTGATGGTCTTTGGAATGCCGGCTGCCATACTTGATAAGGCTTGGCTGTGGTAATGTGTTAGGGCTCAGGTTCAAGAGCTGGTAGGGAGAGGAGGAAGCTGGGGACCCTGTGGGGCTAGAGTTAAGGCTGGCTACTAACCCAGTTTGAGGGCAGATGACTCAACTGACTCCAATACAGAGAAGTCAGAATCTGAGCTAAACATCAGTTTTGTTTTGTGTATCAGTGTGCTAATGGGTTCAAATCAGCCCTACTGACCCTGTCTCAAAACCTATCTCCAATCCAATTTTATAGGTAATAATAAAATTGTAGCTAACATCTAATATTCATTTAGTGATGTGCCAGCTGCTATACTAAATACTTCTCATTTAATCTTTTAACCATCACCTTAAGAAGCAATGACTATAGTAATTACCCTGGTAATATGAACTACCATTTAACGAGGGCTTACTGTATGCCAGAGAGTACTAAGTGCTTTAGATTGATAAAAACATTTAATTTTCACAACCCCAAAGACAGGTACTATTGTTATCCCCATTCTACAAAGGAAGGAAGTCAGCCACAAAGATTAGGTCCTCTGCCTAAAGGCTTGCAGCTGGGAAATGACAGCACTGGGCTTGGAACCCCCAGTCTTTAACTCTCAAGTTCATCTACCTAATCGCTATATTCTACTGCCTTTCCCAGCTACTTCTACTTATCAAACCTCTTCTTTTCTAAAGATTTATTTGAGAGAGCATGTGCATGTGCACACCAGGGGAAGGGCAGAGGGAAAAGGAGAGAGAGAATCTTAAGAAGACTCTGCACTAAGGACAGAGCCAGTCGGATCTCACGACCCGAGCTGAAACCCAGAGTTGGACGCTTAACCGATGGAGCCACCCAGGTGCCCCTACTTATCAAACTCTTTAACGCATGGTGGACACTACTCTGATTAGTTCTCCCATTAACAGTTCATTCATACTAACTAGCATTTTGGATCTCACAGCGGTCTCTGGTTTCCTGGTCAACTCTTCTTTCTCTCCTCTCTTTAAAGATTTTATTTGTAAGTAATCTCTACACCCAACATGGTATAGATTATGACCCCGAGATTAAGAATTACGCACTCCACCAACTGAGCCAGCCAGGCGCCCCGGTCAACTATTCTTCTCTTATAGGTAATAGTATTGATTCACTCCCCCGCCCAAATTGAAGTTCTGCTTATTTTTAAAAAATATACCTTGCTCAACTATGCTGTTTATATGAATAATATATCATGGTAGGTTTTATGTACTTTTTTTGTAATTAAAAGTTTTTTTTTAAGTAAACTCCACACCATATGTGGGACTTGAACTCATGACCCCGAGATCAAGAGTCACATGCTCCACCAACTGAGCCAGCCAGGAACCCCTATATGCTCTTTCTTAACTGGAATCTTTCTCTGGAATCTTACTTTTAAAGGTTCTGTACAATCATACCTTAATTTTATTTTTCAGTACTCCCAGACATGGACCAACAGTACAAGTCAAGCTGACCGCTGTCCTCTATAGAAGTTACAATTCTCATTCTGTGCCCTTGCTCTTACCTGTTTGATATGCCTCTTTCATTGCTCTCCTACTCTCCAAATCCTATTTGTTCATCAAGGCTCAGCTTAAATCCCTCCATACAGTCTACCTAACTACCCTCAGTCCTACTGCTCATTATTTTCTCTGAATGTATGTAGCACTGCATTGCCTCAAAACACTTAGAATTTAATTATAATGTGTTTTTAATTATTTCTATAAATGCTAGCCAGTCTGATCCTTGCAGGGACCGTTATTTATATAGTTCTTGCCTTCTGCAGTCTTAGGCACAAAAGTGTGATACCACTGGAAGAGCATTAAGGAGATGTCCTGACCTGGTACTGGAGTCTCAAACAAGCTCCTGGGACTTGAACTCATGACTCTGAGATCAAGAGTCAAGTGCTCCACCAACTGAGCCAGCCAGGCACCCCTATGTGCTCTTTCTTAACTGTTACTCTAAAATCTTACTTTTCAAGATTCTGTACAATCATAGCTTATTTTTCAGTTCTCCCAAACATGGACCAACAGTACAAGTCAAACAAGCTCTCTGATACCCACCCTATTTTTCTCTTAGTGGAAGGTTATTACAACATCTTAAAGAACGTTAGCTTATAATTCATGGGCCAGCAGACGGGTCTATCAGATGAAAATATGCACCTCAGTGCTTCAGATCTCCCACTACTAAGATGTTTCGTTTTTATAAACCTCAGGACAGCACCAAGCTATAAAATAAATATGAATGCCAACTTTTTGTTGTTGTTGTTGTTGTTTTAAATCATGCTGCTAATTTTATTTTGTTTTTTTCCATTTTATAAAAGTTGTTTAGATATAATAACAATAACAGATTATTTCATAGAAGGCATGTAGAGCATACTAAGAATGTTGACTTTTAATAAACTGTGATGACAGCACAGAGGTCACCAACAATGGATATCAGACAGCAGTAATCAAATAAAAGTCTATGCACAGTTTCACTTATCAGTTTAGGTAAAGAGATTAATTTGTCACACTGCTACCGCCCTGATAAAGTGAGACAACTACAGCTAAGGGGGAAATGAATATAGAGCATAGATGCTGCAAGCAGTGCATGAAAGCAACAGATGTCAAATAATTCAACAAATGTTTGTCTAACATTTTATCAACAGGAAATCTAAAATAAGTGAGTGTTCCCTCAGTAAATTTTCATAACTTGATACACCATAAAATGCTGACACAACTTCTGATCTGATTTACAGACTAAATGATGTAAAATATAGTTTGAAGGCTCTTTTTTATTCTAATTCTTTAAATATGCGCATCAGCAGATGCTAATAATACCATTATGAGCCTGGATTTGCATTAATTTGAAGTATGGCTGACAGGCTAAATATGAAGAGAGGAAAAAAACAAAAAGAGCACCTCCTAGGTGAAAACGACCTTCTTCTGTACCTCGAATGGGTGAAAAATACCCGATTATATCAGCACTGTATTCAGAGAAATGGGAAAGTATGGCTAAACTTCCTCCAACCTCCAAAACAAAAAGTAAGCTCAGCAATTGAAAGCATCTTGGAAACCACTTAGTAATACAGAAATGTACATTTCAACAAAAGCAGGCGTAACTCTGATTCACAATTATCCTTAGTTGTAACTGTACCTAAAAACTTGCTTATAAAGCTTCAGATATAGCCGGGAAGTCTTTTTGAAGACCCCAATAAAACATTCACCAGATAACACAGAACACTTAACAGTTTTGATCTTTATGACTCAAAGCTGTTACTGCGTAACTATAGATACAACACACCGCTGCACACACTGAATTCCAGAATTCAGTACCGCGGAAACATTTCTATTCGTAGGGCAATATAATAACAATCTATTGATCCAGTGATCTGGCACTGAAAGCGTGAACAACCCAAGGTAATGATGTCGTCACCAAGGGACGACAGGAATAGAACCCAAATCCCTCGGCTCCCAAGCTCGTGTTTTCTCCTAATTGTGCTCCTTTCTACTCATCCGAGAGCACCAAGTGTAAAGGGTCGGAGAAAGGAGTGGACACAAATGAGCCGAGTCGGCGTGGTGGAGACCGCAGTGAAGGTCCCCAGGAACCACTCTGTGGCACTTTCCTTTGTTTTGGCTGAGGACGATGAAGGCAGCCGCAACCACAACCCCCGGGGACCAAGAACTGGAACTAGGTACTGCCTGTTGTGCTAACTCTCTCTTCCTCATTTTAGGCCTTTCCTTTTCACCCTCTCCCAGCCAGCCCCGCCGCTCTCTCCGCCTCACTGCGCGTGCATCCCCTGCTCGGGCTCCGCTCCGCGCTTTCCTGCCGCTGTCCCCCGCCGGAGGGGCAGCTGCGGGTCCCCTGCGCCCTTAGGTGGTCAGGGCGCTCCCAGCTCTAAAAAACGAGCGCTAGTCAAGCGTTCTGTATTTCAACTGTTAGAAACTCAAGCGGTGGGAACAGGGGTGTATACCAAGTCGGCTCTACGAGAGTCTGCGGAGCTCGTCAGGACAAAGCAAAATTTAGACAGTAAGCACAGAGCCTTTCTCTTCTCTCGCCCAGCTCAGCCATCCCGTGGGAAACCTCCCACTGCACGACGCCTTCCTGAGCGCGCGTGTTTACACTTTCCCTGCACCCGGCGGAGGAGACAGGCGCTCGCGGTACTCGGGGGGATTCCAAACCGTTACTCCGCCCGCCGAGGTGGGGCCAGCCCAACGGCCGAGCCTGCGCAGTAGACCTGGCCGCCTCCAGGGCCCCAGCGCACTACAAATCCCAGAAGGCAACGTTCCGCGGAGAGGCGGACACCCGCTTTACCTGCCGCGAGCTTATTCCTCCGGCTGCTACAGCTCTCCCCATCCCCCGTTCCCGTGGGTCTCCTTCCCACAGTTAAAGGCTACTCTCTCTTGAAGCACGTGAGGAGAAGGCTTAGCAACCTCAACCTGGAAGCTCTTCGCGTACCCTCTTTGTCACCCTCTCCCCGAACTATGCCTGATTCCCTCACCGGAGTTGGGTAGTGGATGAGAAAGACGGAAACCTGGGGAGGCCAAAGCCGCGGCAACTTGGTCGCACTTCCGCCTCCCGGGCTCGGGAAGGTAGAGCGCACGCGCTCCCTGCGACTCCGGCGCGGTTGACTTCCGCTCCCACTGTGCCCTGCGAGCCGAATCATGGATCACACTGGTAAGGAGGCGGAGGCAGTGGGGGTCCCGGTTCCATGCCCCCTTGGCCGGCCTGGGACTGGCTGCCCAGCGGGCAGAGAGGGGATACGCTCGCCCTACAGCACTGGGGTGTGGCGGTGAGAAAGGAATCTCACAGACCCCTCCCCGTGCCCGGTAAGGGCCTGCTGCTTCCCGGCCTACGGTCCGGTGTGGTACCTACAGCCTCGGTGCCGGCAACAGCCGCTTCTCTGGTTCTGCTGAGCTCCCAGCCGAGACGGTGGGCGGCGCGGGCCTCGTGGGGACGAGAGAGCGCTGGCTCCTTTTTTTCGCATCCCGGGTGCTCTGCTCTACGTGTTGGGGACTGGCGGGTAGATTCCAATCTCCGAGTCGGAGAAGCCTCATTACGCTGGGAGTCGATGCGCGGGAGTGGGTTGGAGACTTCCTGCTGTCTCAGTTAGCCTTGGGCGGGTGCTGCGGTGGTCACTGCCGGTCGTTATTGTCTCTCCGGTCCTTCATGGACTAGAGGTGAGAGAAGGGAGTTGGATATGGTTTCCGGAATCATACTTGGAGCGGCTTTTCTGCCTGCGCCCAAAGCGTGCCCCGCGCTTCGGCTGTGGTCCTTACTCATCTTTTGGGGGCGTTTACAAAGGAGAGTTTAAATTCAAGATATTCTTATCTCTTTCCTCAAGTAAGAATGACTGCGCTCTTCGTTATGTGTTGTTTGGCTTTTTCTTTTTTGTGTTTTTTGGATATTGAATGGGTGCACTTGGAGTTAGTGTTCCGTACAGTTCTGTCAGCCATATCGTAAGTAGGAAAAAAGGATATTCTTTGTATTAAGTATTGGTTAGGATGTTCTCAGTCATCAAATACCTACTTAGTTTTGTACATAAGGGTATGCCTGGGTGGCTCAGTCAGTTGAGCGTCTGCCTTCGGCTTGGGTCATGATCCCAGGGTTCTCGGATCGAGTCCCATATTGGGCTCCTTGCTCAGTGGGGAGCCTGCTTCTCCCTCTGCCGCTCCCCCTGCTTGTGCTCTCTTTCTAAAAAAATAAAAAATTTTGTACATAGTGATATAAAATTATATCTCTATAGAATGTAGTGAGTGCTAGTCAGCATAATATATGGTAGATACCTCTCTGCCTGGAGATGGGATGATGGAATTGTAAACAAGACGGACTGAGTCCCTGACCTCATGGAGATTACATTCTGTTGGGGAAGACACGATAGACAAGTTTTTTTAAAAACCTAAACATTACAGATCATGAGTGCTTTGAAAAAAAATGAAACCGTGTCTGTGGTAAAGACTAATAGGAGGAAGCTTCAGAGAGGGTGGTCAGGGAGGGTCTTTATGTAAAGGTAGTATTTATAAGCTGAGATCTGATGGATGAGAAGAATCCATCTATGGAATTAGTCAGGAGGAAAGCATTTCAGCAAATACAAAGACTCTGAGGAAGGAAAACTTTTAGAGGTAAGTCAGTTGCAGCTTAGCAAGAAGAGCAGAGCCCTAAGAGATTGGAAAGGAAGGGAGGAGTCAGATCGTGCAAGGCTTTGAAGGCCATGGTAAGTGCAGTGTGAAGCCATGGAACAGGGGTACAGGAGGAACATAATTTCCTTTAAAAATACAATAAGTTGTTCATGGAGAATGACAATTTAGACGGTGATTGCAGTAGACAAGAAGAGAGGCTCAGCTTAGTGAAGTTGGCTTGGTTTAGGGAAAAGGGGAGTGTGCAGATTCAATATTTGGTGGTAGAACTCAAATAGGAGCTTTGTGAGAGAAAGGAGAGATGCCTAGGTTTCTGGTTTGAGCAGCTAGGTGGTGCCCATTATTAAGTTGGGGAAAACTTTGAAGGAAAATGGACTTTTTTTTTTTTTTTAAGTGGTAAAGGTGAGACTTGGGAACAAGATTTTGGACTGCTAAGTATGAGTTGTTTACTGGGACATACAAGGGGTGCTGTCAGGTGGAGATCAGAGGAAAGATCTGGGTTGAAAAATACATATTTGAGACTTACGACCAGATAGCTAATATTTTAAGGAATGAGGATGGATGAGATCACTTAAGGAATGAGAATACAGAGAAGAGGGCCGAGAACCAGGCTGTAAGGAACTCTAGTATTTGGAAATTTTGTAGAATTGAAACAAGTTTTGCTCAAGCATGTAACTTGAGCAACACATTTCTCATTAGAGCCTTTTACTAGAATTTGGGGTCAAGCCCCTTCCACAGTTTAGAGGGTGTTACGTTAAGAAGTTGTAGTATTGCTGGGTGTGTCTCTGAGTATTTATTATCCTAGTTCTCTAAGTTAAAATGTTGCCTAAGAAAGGAAAGAGTCATCCTGACATGAAAATATTCACAAATGAACCAACCACTTAAAAAATTAGTTCCTGCTCGGATATAGATATCACTGCTGCTCCTTTTCTATTCTTCTTCTTCTTCTTTTTTTTTTTTTTAAAGATTTTATTTTTAAGTAAGCTCTACATCCAACGTGGGGCTTGAACTTACAACTCCTAGGTCAAGAGTCGCATGTTCTACCAACTGAGCCAACCAGGCGCCTCTTTTTTCTATTCTTTTAATTTTGTTATAAGTCATTGTCCTTGCTTCATACCAGGAAATGGTATCATATGCTGTATATTGATTGTGATTATAAACCTTGCAAAAGATACAGGTTTTCATGGAATTCATAAACATGAATTTAACTTTTTGAAGCACAAATAAAAATCATTGGCAAGTGAGGAAATGCCAGTTGATTGAAGACATGACTAGGTAGGCATCTGAAAAGAAAGATTTTAATGTCAAAGGATTAAGAGAGGCTCTTGGGGAAATTGAAATCCTTGAATATTATACACAAAAATGACTGAATTTATGGTCATGCTGAAAAGTCAAACATGAAATGAAGCCTATCTTGTAGTGTTCCAATAGAATTTTGCTAGGAAAAACTACTCCAAGAAACTCCGATTAACACTTGATTGATTCTTTGGTCGTTCTAAGAGTCAGCACTTAGTTGTAACTGAAATCTAAATTTTGTAAAATATTTCTTGGTTCCTTTAATTCAGGATAAAATTCTAAATGAATATTTTTTTTTAAAAACTATAATATAAATTGTTAGTCCTTTTTATTTTTTTTATTTTTTTTAAGGATTTTGTTTATTTATTTGACAGAGAGAGAGACAGTGAGAGAGGGAACACAAGCAGGGGGAGTGGGAAAGGGAGAAGCAGGCTTCCTGCCGAGCAGGGAGCCCGATGCGGGGCTCGATCCCAGGATCCTGGGATCATGACCTGAGCCGAAGGCAGTTGCTTAACCAACTGAGCCACCCAGGCACCCAATTGCTAGTCCTTTTTAAAGTGGATTCACCTTAAATGGCCTCAAAGTTAAAGAGGTGCCTGGCTGGCTCAGCCAGTAGAGCATGTGACTCAATCTTGGGGTTGTAAGTTTGAGCCCCACATTGGATGTAGAGATTACTTAAAAAGGAAATCTTGAAAAAAGAAAAAAGAAAAATAAATGACCACTTACAGCATTAGTTCTCATTTTCTGTGTAATATCCAAGAACTTTTGTGCTTACGGGCTTTATATATTTAGTTGGTATATTAAAATTAGAAATTGTGCTGTATTTTCTGATTTTTAATAAAAAAAAAAAAAGACAAACCCAGAGTGATGTCACTCTTAAATGCTGTGCTTTGTTTATGGGCTTGCAATCTGTGAGGTAGGTGGCAAGGTGTTAAGGGGCAGTGGACTTCCTAAAAGTTGTGGTAGGCTAAGCAAGCAACCATTGTGACAAGTGTTCAGGGTGGTGGGAAAAGGATTTGCAGTAATGAAGTGTTGGTATTTTGGTCATTCCTCTAGGTAAAACACCATTGAGTCCTTCTAATACATGAAGGACAACATTGAACTGCTAAATCTGTCTACATTAACTTGCTTTTTTAGTTTATTGAAAAATCAGGAATACCTTTTGAGCAAGAAAAAGAAATTGATTCATGTCTGTCCTTTGGGTATTACATTGCTTGTAGGTACTTTTACATAAATAACTAGAATGGAAGCAGATGAAATACATTATTCAGCTTGTTAATACATTTTGTGAAGTGTTGAAAGTTGACCAAGTTGAGTTTAGGGTTAGGGTTAGGCCCATGTAATTCCTTTCCATGAATTTTTTCTTTGAGGATTAGCTCTTGTAAAAGTAGTAGTAGAAAGTAGACTGAAAGATATTTAAATTAATTATTAAGGACCTATTTTGCATTTTGTTCTAAATATTGTTCAGAAAGAGGGGCACCTGGCTGGCTCAGTCAGAAGAGTGTGCAGCTCTTCATCTCGAGGTTGTGAGTTCGAGCCCCATGTGGGGTATAGAGATTACTTAGATAAATAAAACTTAAAATAAATATTGTTCGGAAAGAGTGTAAATTGATGTGAATTTAACATGTGTCTGTGATCCTAGTAGCCTTGGAGGTCATTAGTACTAGGTTGCTACTTCCAAATTTGGGTTTACTGAATGTAATGTGAACAGTGTGCCTATCAGTCTTGATTGTACTATCTCCTGCAGGGCCAGTTCAATAAATTGTCACATTTAAAACATTACTTTTTAAAAATTATTTTATTTGGGTGGCGCCTCGGTGGCTCAGTCTTTAAGCGTCTGCTTTCTGCTCAGGTCATGATCCCAGGGTCCTGGGATCGAGCCCCGCATCGGGCTCCCTGCTTAGTGGGAAGCCTGCTTCTCCCTCTCCCACTCCCCCTGCTTGTGTTCCTGCTCTCGCTAACTCACTCTCTCTGTCAAATAAATAAATAAAATCTTTAAAAAAATTATTTTATTTGCATTTCCTATTTTAGGGCATTTTCCTTTGTGTCTTTAGTAGGTAAAGGTGAATATTTTCTGTATTGTAATATTTTGTCATAGACTTGAAAAAAAGGGAGACAACCTTCAGATGGAGTCAGTTCTATGAAAT